GGGCCGGGGTCGCCACGGCAGAAGGCGGAGCCGCTGCGGGGACAGAGGCCTGAGGAGCCGGTGACGGAGACGCGGCTCTCCTCGGAGGTGCCCGGCTGCAGGGACACGAAGAAAAACATCACTTCATCATCATTTCATCATCATCATCCCAAACCTTGCCGGGCAGAGGCCATGTGGCCGCAGGGCCAGGAGTTCACCGTTCCTCCTGCGGCACGGAATGTCCTGAGCTGGAAGGGACAGGCAGTGTCACAGAGTGCGCGGCACAGGAGGCCCAGGATCACGCTGGGATTACACACGCCCCTGTTACACGCTGAAGGAGCGAACTCGGTGTTCTGCTAAGCGTCTTATGCAAGACAGGGTCCGGATTACAGGCTTCTTTCTGCCTGGTTACTCCCCAGCTCACATAAGTGTTTTGAGGAAAAATACAATTTAACCCAACAACGGTTGATTACCCTGGTGCTGGCGCCCAGGCCCTGCTGCCGAGCAGACCCACTTCCATGCCCCAAATCGCCCAACAACGCTCCGCGAACCCACATCCAGCCCAGCCCAGCCGGGCGCTGCCACCACCCCGGCGCGTCACCCGCCCGCACAATGGCGGCCAGGCCACCGCGGCCTGCGCGGGGCACAGGAGAGGAGGAGAAGGGGGCCCTCACCTAGCGGGGGGCGGCACGCGGGACGCGCGGCTGCGGTTGCCCCTGGGCATGGCGGCGGGGAGCGGAGAGGAGCGGAGCGGAGGGAAGCGGAGAGGAGCGGAGGAAGCCCGAGCGGCGCGGCCCGGCCCGACACCCGCACGCCGCCTCTGAAGGTCACCGCGCGTGCGTCACTTCCGGAACGCCGCGCGGGGGCGGGGCCGGGCGGGGCCACGCCCCCTCCGCCCGCCTGAGGCGCCGCGCGGCGGCGGTGAATAAATAAACGCCTAAAGTGCGGTTACAGCCCTGCCTGAGGGGCTCTTGGTCATCATAAAGGTTTAAATACCGATAGACCTGCATGTGCCGGATTTTCGGCCACAATAAGCGCCTAAGTTGTGATAAATAGCCGCGCGCAGGATCCTCAGTCACAGTAAACAGTTTTACCGTGATAAACCTGTCTTTATAGGATCCTCCGTCTCAATAAACAGTTATATGGTGATAAACCTGCCTTTGTAGGATCCTCGGTCACAATAAACACTTTTACCGTGATAAACCTGCCTTTGTAGGATCCTCGGTCACAATAAACAGTTATATCGTGATAAACCTGCCTTTGTAGGATCCTCGGTCACAATAAACAGCTTTACCGTGATAAACCTGCTTTTGTAGGATCCTCGGTCACAATAAACAGTTATATGGTGATAAACCTGCTTTTGTAGGATCCTCAGTCACAATAAACACCGAAATAGTGTTAAACCCACGTCTCTGTGGGACTTTTTGCCATAATACGCATCTACATAGTGATAAAGCCGCTCTTGTAGGATCCTGAACCACAACAAACACCTAAATCTGTGAGAGACCATTGGTCTTTAATAAATAAATACCTGAATCTGTGAGGGACCATCAGTCTTTAATAAATAAACACCTAAATATGTGAGGGACCATTGGTCTCGAAATAAAGACCTGTGAGGGACCATTGGTCTCAATAAACACCTAAATCTGTGAGGGACCATCAGTTTCCGTAAACACCTAAATCTGTGAGGGACCATGGGTCTCTAATAAATAAACACCTACATCTGTGAGGGACCATTTGTTTCAGTAAACACCTAAATCTGTGAAGGAGCATTGGTCTCTAAATAAACACCTAAATCTGTGAGGGACCATCAGTCTCTAAATAAACACCTAAAGCACAATAAACCTGCACCTGTGGCACCTTCAGTCCCAATAAACACCCAAATCGCCATGGAAAGTGTTCCAGCCTTCATGGAATCGTTCTCTGTGGAAAACGAGCCTCCAAAAGCCTCTCTGAATTCAGCCCTTCAGTAGAGTTACAGATTTTATTTTATTTCTATGGATTCGTGGGATCCTCTCTGGAGCAGAGAGGGGATCCCGTCGATCCATAGAAATATCTCCAAGGGGTGCCAGAGGATGATCCTGGATTATTTTCGGTGATGCCCAGCAACAGGACAGGAGTAATGGCCATAAACTAAAACACAACAAATTTCCCCCTCAACACAGGAAAGAATTTCTTTATGTTGAGGGTGGCAGAGCTCTGAACCTGCAGCGTCCCTCTCTGGTGACATTCCAACCCCACCTGGATGTGTTCCCTGGATGATGTCCAGAAGTCCCTTCCAACCCAAACCATTCTGTGATTCTGTGATTTTCACCCCAAAAAAGAAGCGAGGATCACTTCTGCCCCCTCATCCCCACCCAGAGGCTGTCTTCTTGCTTTAGAGACACTGTCTACTTGGAGAAATTAATTTTTAAATTGATTTATTAACTATTGTGTTAATGAAGTTCTTTCTACACACAGCAGCAATGATAAGGGATACCACAGTCAACAGTTATGATAATTCACGACCAAAAAATTGCTTGTTGGCAGTTTCTTCACTTAAAAAGAGGTGAAAGACCGGGAATTTCAACATCTTTTACATCAGGGGATGTAACTGTTGCCTGATGAAAGAAGTGCTAACGTTGTGAGTTGCAGAGCATAAGTACAGCTCAGAAAAGCAGTTGCTGATGAGAGAAGATAAATATAAATTATAAACCATGTTCAGAACAGGGACATCTGCAGAAGCTCAGACCTCTGGTGTTGCTGCAGGAGAGCTTCTCCCTGGCTCTTGGCCTCTCTCCATCTCTGAGAGCAAATCACAGCTCAGAAAGCACGAGTTATAATTTTGCTTTTCTAGAGTTCAAGCTGCTCCTTTCTTAATGAGTAGTTTTCTCATTTCATTGCTTTTTAATTAATAGTTTTCAATTTTCCCTCTTTTTTTTGTTTTTGTTTTGTTTTTTGCTGGCAGAGCGATTCTTGACGCTCGAAGTCATTTTGCGACCGCGTCCCTCTTGGATTTGTTTTGTTTTGCAGAACAATGAGGGCAGGATGGCACTGCAGGCGGGATGAATGCTGCCGTTGTGCTTTGTCCTCCTGCTTTCCTTGGGAAAACTCCAGAGCTCCCTTTTGCACCGGCTCATCCTCACATCTGCTGATGCCACAGTGCACAAGGATCTGGAGAAGGGCATGAGAACCAGTAGCTGGTGGCCAACCCAAAAAAAAAAATCAGCAATAATTGTGCTTGTGGTGGTGCCCACAGCGAGCAAAGACGGTTTATTTTCACCTGCCATGACTTTTATGTGGGTACACCACAGGGATTAAGTGTTTCTTTAACCGCCAGCCAGGTGTTGCTGCTTCTTTTGATTGTGAAATAAAGAAGATCCAGCCCTGATTTTGGGGTGTCTGTCTGATCGTGACCCTGTGTGGCAGGATGGGATCGCAGATCTGGGAAAAAAAGGTGATGAAATCCCATTGCTCAAGTGCAAGGCTGAGCGAGCCCTGGGGGAATCCAGCAGCAGCTGCTCCTGAGCCAAGTGGAGCACAAGGCTGCGGTGTGAAAATCAAATTGATTTAACAGATTTAATAGATTTCTTCTATTGTCTGTCCAAATTACAAGCTCGTGATGAGTTCGGGAGTGTAACAGGCCCTGTGCACACCAGATGGGCTCTGTGCAGGATGCAGGAATTTGGGACATCCTGCCCAAAAGGAGGGAAAATCACCAGGAGAACGGGGCTGAGGCTCACCTCACCCTAGCTCTGGTGAAGTGACACATCATCCCTGAGGTCACGCCAGCCGGGAAGGCTTTGCTCGCGTTTTTCGGAACTGCCCGGTTTCCCCCGCGTCCCACACTGGAGAGGAAAAACGCGAGGAAAATCCCATTTTCCTTATGGAAATGCCCATTTGCATTTTGGAAATGCCCATTTTCCTCTGGAAAAGCCCGTTTGCCCTCTAGAAAAGCCCTTCCTTTTCTTTTTTTTTTTTTTTTCCTCTCTGGAAAAGCTTGTTTTCCCTCTGGGAAAAGCCCATCTTCCCACTGGAAAAGCCCATTTTCCTTTTGGAAAAGCCCATCTTCCCACTGGAAAAGCCCATTTTCCTGCTGGAAAAGCCCATTTTCTCTCTGTAAAAACTCATTTTCCTTTTGGAAAAGCCCATTTTCCCTCTGGAAAAGCCCATTTTCCTGCTGGAAAAGCCCATTTTCTCTCTGTAAAAACTCATTTTCCTGCTGGAAAAGCCCATTTTCCTTTTTGAAAAGCCCATTTTCCTTCAGGAAAGCCAATTTTCCTTTTGGAAATGCCCATTTTCCCTCTGGAAAAACCCATTTTCCCTTAGGAAAAACCCATTTTCCCACTGGAAAAGCCCATTTTTCTTTTTGAAAAGCCAATTTTCCGTCTGGAAAAACACATTTTCCTGCTTGAAAAGCCTATTTTCCTTCAGGAAAGCCCATTTTCCTGCTGGAAAAGCCCATTTTCCCTCTGGAAAAGCCCATTTTCCTGCTGGAAAAGCCCATTTTCCTTCAGGAAAGCCTATTTTCCTTTTGGAAATGCCCATTTTCCTTTTGGAAAAGCCCATTTTTCCCTTTGGAAAAGCCCATTTTCCTTTTGGAAAAGCCCATTTTCCCTTTGCAAAAGCCCATTTTCCTTTTGGAAAAGCCCGTTTTCTCTCTGTAAAAACTCATTTTCCTTTTGGAAAAGGCCGTTTTCCCTTTGGAAAAGGCCGTTTTTCCCGCTGGATTCAGGCGGGGCGGCGTTGTGAGGGGACTCAGCCGGGGCTCGCGGCGGCCGCCAGGGGGCGCTATGCCACGCCCCCCCCCCCCCCCCCCCCCCCCGCCCCCGCCTGACGTGACGTAGTCGCGAGGCGCCACGTCCGGCGCGAGCGGCGCGGGGCGGGGCCGGCGCGGGGTTGGGAGGTTGGGGGGGGGAGAAGGCGTTGGGGAGGGGGGGGGCGGTTGTGGCGCGCCCGCCCGGCCAGCCAATGAGGGGCGCGCGCGCGTGCGCGGCCGGCCAATGGGGAGCGCGCGCGTGCGCGGGGCGGGGCGGCGCCGGGCGCGCGTCGCGGGCTGAGGCGGAGGGACGGGGCCAAGATGGCGGCGCCCGTCCTGCTGCGGGTGTCGGTGCCGCGCTGGGAGCGGGTGGCGCGGTCCGCCGTGTGCGCCGCCGGCATCCTGCTGTCCCTGTACGCCTGCCACCTGGAGCGCGAGAAGGGCCGCGACAGCCACTACCAGGCCCTGTGCGACCTCAGCGAGCGGGTGCGCTGCTCCGCCGCCATCACCTCCAGGTGAGGCGCGGGTGGGACCCGCCGCCGCCCCCGCCCGGGGAAGGGGCTGAGGGATGCGGGAGAGGTGGGGACGGGTCCCGGAGTGCTGCCTCGGGGTGTGCTGGGGGCCGGGCCGGTGCTCGGAGGGGCTGCGGGCGGGGCGGGGGCAGCGCTGCCGGTGTGGGGCAGCCCCATGGCCGGACGGCTGCTGGGGGAACGGGGATTTTCGGGATCGCTGCGGGCCGGAGGGTGAGGCACCCGCAGTTGCTGTGTTGTAATCAGCGGCAATTAGGTGGAGTGACAGGCGTTTTAGTGGTAAAAGCTGGGGAGAGTGGCATGCTGGAGCTGTGAGTAGTGGTTAAGGACAACATAAACAAGTGCAGCTGCGGGTGGGTTGCTCTGTTAGCTTCAATTGCAGTATCTGTATTGCGTTTTCATTGGGACAAATCCTGGCAGCACCGGAGAGGCTTTGGTGATCCAGAGGAAGTGCTTCATTCACGGGAGACTTGGATGCCTCTGCAGCACAAGCCCAGTCCAAATCCTGATTTATTTTGCAGATGTCCAGCCAGTTTAGCAGTTGTTTTCCAAAGGCCAAGGACTCTTATTTCTGTTAGGAGAGTAATTGTATAAATCTGGTTCTTGAGCAAATCTGTGTATTAAGTCCTTCCTCTGTATTTTAATGAGAATTGTGTTGTTACTGTGTTAGTGCCTTCAGCTGAATGAGTAATCGAGATTTCCTTTTTCACCTCTCAGTGTAACCTGTGCAAACTGACACAATTTTTATAGAGGTATTTGCTGTATCATCATAACACAGCAGTTTGGGGGAATATTCCCAACTTCTGTCAAGCTGAGAGCTGTGAAATTTTTTAGGCAAAACATCCAGGGAGCTCTTTTTTCCTAAATCCTCCTCTGTGGTGACAGAAGTGAGATTGTGTGACAGAGATCTGTATCTCTGGCCACCTGAAATTGTGGTTGAGTGAAGGCTTTAACTCTGCTTTTCTGTCTGGCTCAGGTCATCTTTAGTTTGTGAAGGTGCTTGTTCATGTCTCTGCTTGGAAAGTGAAGTTTGAAATGAGAAGTTTGGATCTAACTAGGGAGGAAACTTCAATAAACTCACCAGATGAATGCAAATGATATTAAATTATGCTTAGGCTACTGAGATTAAGCCATGTGAGTCTCATCAGCGATTTAACTTTGATCACAGATACAGGGTAAAAAGAGAATAACAGAGATTCAAGCATTAAGTAACAGATACAGGGGTAAAAAGAGAATAACAGATTTAAGCCTGTTCTTGTCTAGAACTGGTCCTGCACCAGCTTTTTGTTGTTGCAGCAAGTGCTGCTGTTGAGTCAGGGAATTGGATGTCACAGTTCTGATGCATGTTTACTGAACACTTGGGAGAAGGAAATTACCTAAAGATATAATTTGAATTATTTCTAATTATGGAACCAAGCTCAGTAATTACAGTGTTCATCAGCAATGCTGCAGCTGACACGTTGAGCAAGACCTGGGAATCCTTTGCTGGAGGAATTCTAGATGATAATGTGAGGAGTTAGGGATAAAATGCACTCAGATCTCCCAGCAGTTGCTAGGAGAACCATGCCTGGAGTGAAGCGCTGCAAATGCCAGGAGAGCTCGTGATTGTTGGAGCAGGTGGTGAAAGGAAAAGGAACGTGCAAGTTCTGTTCACTCCAACCATATTTGGAGAAGAATTTGCTTTCCAGGCTGTGCAGGACAGAGGGGGAGTTCTGCTTTAAAAGTAAGGCAGGAGGGCAAGGCGTTAAAGTTGGAAAGAAATTAATTTTATTTTCCATGTTCCCATCCACTGTTCTCTGTCACTTTCTGCAGCTGAGTGTTCCTTGTTCCCACATCACCAAAGCTTCTCAGAAGCTTAATTTCTAAAAGGAACTTTTAACCAGACTTTAGATTGCACCGGGGTTGTAAAGTTTCAGTTTTGTGTTCCACCTTTTTCACAGGTAATTTAGATTTAACTGCCACATTTCTTTTCTCATTGAGCTGTTACACTGACAGTCAGGAATTAATTGATTAGCTAATGATTAGAATTAACTCTGCAGAGTCAACTGGCTGAGAAACTTCTGTTTCTACTTTGGCTTTTAGGTGGTTCATTGGGTTATGTGACTTTTTATTTAAGCTGGATTTGCTGATGGAACTTGAAATATTGCAATCTTCACTTCTTGACTTTTGACTCCAAGAGTGGACTGAACTTTAAAAAGCACTTAATGCTGTTAGGATTCATTTTAAATGCATAGAATAATTAGAATAAATTCGTTTATTCCTTCCTGAGCTGACTTTTTGGTATTTTGGGTGGAGTTTTTTTTTCACCAGCTGTTGGTATTTCCAAGTCTTGCTTTTAAGCCAGATCTGGCATTGGCACAACAGCAAGAACAGAAATGTAAAGACTGCCAACATGCAGAGGGAGGAGCACAGAAAATCTCCTATCAGAGCCTGACTCATGCACAGGGTTATGTTGGAGTGATCCCTTCCCAGTATCCCTTACCCAAAACATGAATAGTCAGCATATTTCAAATTTTTATCAAGGGGAAAGTTCATGAAATAGTTTAAAAATAAAATTTGCTAAGGAGTGGCTGATAAGGACAGGTATTAGTGCAATACCTCACATCTATGGCAATTGCTGTATTTATTTTAAATTAATTGCTTTATGATAGTTGAGAATAATTAAGTGCCAAGAATGGCTTTATTTATAAACTGGCTGTTTTATAAACTGAATAATAGTTTTTGACTAAAAAATATTTTTTCTTGCTGTAGTTTCACAGTGGGGATTAAAGTAATAAAACACATTTCAAGTCATAACAGGTCATGCTACAGCTTGAAATAAAATGTGACCTTTAAGTGGTAATGTAGAGACCCAGAGCCTTTGGCTTTGGTCTTTTCCATGCCCTGAGAGATTTTGGGATCTTCTAATACATTTCTGCTTTGTGTCTTGATGAATTGGAGATTGCTGGAGGATAAATTAGTGGTTTTGAATGACTTTAATAGCCTGCCATGCATTAATGACTGCTGTAAGAGAACCTCAAGACAGCACAAACGAGCAAAGGGCACTTGTGTATCTTTAGCAATATTTGCAGCTGCGTCAGTGAAGAGGTTTGGCAATAGTCAATATTGATTTTTGCCTGATTGCTGAAGGAGTTCTAGAGTCAAAACAGCAGTTGGAGAATCTGGATGTCATTGGTACTTTAGGAATTCTCTATTCTGTTCATGGGCAAAGTTTTGGATTGGTATCTTGTGTTTGAGGCACTTTGAAAAGTTGTGTAAGAGTCTGTGACAGGATGGTTTGGGTTGGAAGGGGCCTTCAAGGTCATCTTGTCCCAGCCCCTGCCCTGGGTGGGGACTTTCCTCTATAAAAGTTGCACATCCACCTTGTGTTTTCTGCTGGATGCACCAAAATATTCACCCGGTAGTTCCTGAAAATGCCTGTTAAATTTGGGGGCAGGTCTGAAAGGGTGGCCTGTGACAGGTGTGGTATTATTGTATGGTTCTGCTCACATTCATAAATCACTTTAAAGACTGAATTTACACCCATTGTGCTGTTGTAGAGCTCTTGCTCTGCAGAGTGGGTGTGAATTGCTCTCAGAACTGCAGGTAAAACTGCTCCGTGCTGGTTTGTGAGCAGGGCACACCTTGCTAGAGCTGTTCTGGTTCGTCTTTACAGGGATCAAAGTGACAAGAACAACCTCATTGTCCAAAGAAATGGGACATGGAGAAAACTCCCCAGACCTCCCTAAGCTCATGTTTAAACAGGTTCTGTTGTGGGGCAGTTCCTCTAAACTTCTTGTCTGTCAAGTTTGCTTAATTCCAAGTCAAGAACATTATGTGGCACTTATCATTCATATTTAAAGCAATAAATTCCTGATATCCCAGGAGTTTTTTCATTGCTGTATCTGCAAGCACATATCCAGATATGTCTGAGGGTTTCAGCTGCAAGTGTTAGTGACTGGTGGAAGGCGTTAGGAGATGAAAAAGGGATTCTGGATTCCCTGGGTTTGCTGTCTGAGGGAAGGTGGAAGATCTCTGCTTTGGAATTGGGCAGGGAGAAATTGGAGGAGCCCAAGTCAGTGCCAGAGAAGGGAGGGAAGCCCGGAGTCACTCCTCTGCTGGAGGGAAAGCCTGTGCTGGGAGCCAGCGTTCCCTGTCCCTTGTCCCCAGCTGGGCTGGCACTGTGCAGACAGGCTCAGGACTGGCACAGGGGGAGCAGAGGCTGGGAGGATCCAGAGCTGATTCCACGTGCTGCAGAGGGGAGATGGTCCAGGAATGCTGCTAGGAACCAGCTTGGAGTTTTAAAGTCACTCTTAAGGCTGCAGAAGCTGAGACCTCAAATGTTTTGGGGTTTTTTTTTCCCCATCTTTCTAGTAGAAAATTGATGATTTAATACTGATACAACACTTACTGATTGAGACACATCTTTTATAAAACACAGCCGTGCCCCTGCTGTGGGAATCTTTTCTTTTCCATCCTTACAGTGTTCACACAAACACATTAATTTTTGCTTTTCATAAATATATCATTTCCAGCTTGACTGGAATTTGTAATAGGGCTAAGAATTACTTTGCCTGATGCAGAGTAAATTTAACAAAGTGCTTATAATTCAGACTTGGGCTTCATTTATGGTAGCTTAATAGAAAAGATTATTAAGGAAGGAATAGAAGGAATCAGTGCTGTTGGCTTATATCTTGAATAGCCAGTACTTCTGTAAAGGCTGCTATAAAATAATTATCCACTGTCTGCTTAATATTTTGCTGATCTAGACACTGAGAGTTTTTACAGACTCTTTCTGAAGTAGAGCTGGAGGATATTTAGAAGAAAACCTCATTTGGTTATGCTAAATGCTGCTAATAGATTTAAACATGAAATTAAGTGTATCAACATTTTTGAGCTCTCCTGGCAAGTTTACAAATGGATATTTTTAATCTCCTTTTTTGTGGCTTCTAACTGAAGGCTTTTACTTCATTTATTGAAACTATTAGGAGTGGCATTGAAACCATTAATTAGATTTAATCCAAAATCCTCTGGTGAAGTTGGAAAGAAGTTGCAACCAAAGTTTCTTAATGTGCTTCAGATCCTTTAACCTTTATCTGAGCTTTTCACTGAAGGCAGGGGGTGAGCTCTGCTCCCCTCTGAGAACTTTCATTCTGGACCCGAAATTATCTTACAAGTTCAATGGTGCTTAAGGAAATGTGCACATCACTTGTCAAGTGTAGATTTTTTTTTTTGTTTGGTTTGTTTTTTTAGAAAATTGGATTTATTGTTCCCTCGAGGTTACGAAGTGGTAAGGGGTGCTTGCTGTTGATAACAAAATAATGCTCATGGGATGAGAAATAATCCTGACATGAGAGGAAGCAACTACTGCTTAAGAAACTACTACTACTACCCAAAAACCACCCAAACTTGAGTTCCTTCCTTTCTGAGTACAGAATCTTTGTTATTGTTTGCCCTTTTCATTGCACCAAACCCAACAAGTGAGAGAGAATTGTGTTGGTGCCTGCTGCTGCACAAATGCAGAGATTTGGGATCAGACAAACCTTTGAATAATCTGGTCCCCTGAGGGATTTGATTGCATTTCCAAGCAGTCCTCGAGGACACTGGAATGAAACCTGGGAATTGTCCTTTTTTCAAGGCTCCTGCTGCTGGACCTGCCCTGAGCCAGTGAGCTTCTTTCCATGTTAAAATGGAAATGTGGGGCTTAGTTCAGTTCTGGCCATAAAAACCAGGGGGGTTAGCAGGTGAAATCCAGGGGATGTGATCTTGCTCATCACCAGGGGTTGTTGTTGAGGTCAAAAGTGCTCAGGAAACATCTGGGACATCCAGGGAAGGCTGCCAAGTGTTGGTGCAGGTGAAACCCCAGTTCAGGAGTTTCAGCTGATCCTTAAGGACAGTGGAGGCCAAGGAAAGCATCTTGGGCAGTGATCTTTGACAAAACCCTTCAAAACATCTGCAGGCAGCTGTCAGAGCTGGGGCTTGGCTACAGAAACACTCCAGCATTTCTTACAAGGGCTGCAGGGGACCCTGATCCAACTCCTGGCTAAAGAAACACTTCTTGGTTGCTTTGTTTATCTTGGTGTGTTTGGCAGGCTTGGAATTCTGCTGCTTTTGGAGCCAGTGCTGACAGCTCAGAGCTTGTAAACTTGTTAAACTGGAAGGTTGTTTGCTTCTCCTCTGAAATACTTGAGATGCTGGGGGATGAGGCTCTTGTGTTCTCTTTTATACACTAAAATGTTTCAAGTGTGTCCTCTAATATGCTGTTCTGGAACATAGAGGATGTTCATAATTGTGCAAAAGAGATTGAAATTATTTTAGTGATGTAAAAGTGTAAGATTTATTGGAGATACATCACTTGTGGAGCACAGTGACCTCAGTTCTTTTTGTCTTCCCATTAAGAAGTAACAATTGCAAACAAATACTGCTTTAAACTTCTGAAAATGCAACATTGCTGAGCTTGATGAAGTACCTCAGACCAAAAGGGGCATTGTTTAGAGGGTGGATAATAACTTCCAAAACCTCCTTTTGATAAAAGACAATGAACATTGGACTGAAAATCTCTGCAGTGTTCAATTGTAGATGTTGGGAAAGGAGATGAATCACTTCATTTTTGATTTCTTGAATCACTATTTAACGTTTTGAAGAACATTCAGAGTGGTACATGCAGATATGGAGGGAAACCGAGTTACAAAGATGTCTTAAAAGTTTGTTCCTTGTAATTAGATCAGATTGCTTTGGATTTTTTAATAGCAATGAAACTCGGGTGTGGTGAAAATGGGTTTGGTACCTGTGATTGTCAGGGTGCTCTGAGTCACCTCGGGTGACAGTGACCTGGATCTCAGCACGGACTCCTGCTCCAGGGATGGGAGAACCAGGGAAAGCCTGCTGAAATCAGGCTCTGCTTTTATCTTGCTGTGCAAGCAGCTCTGTGCTCCCTGCAGGTCATTTTGTTTAGCATTCTGTATTAAAAAAAAAAAAAAAAAAAAAAAAAAAAAAAAAAA